AAAAAAAAAAAAAAAAGAACTATTGATACATGCAGCAACATGGATGGATCTTAAGGGCATATGCTGAGTGAAAAATGCCGGTTTCAAAAGATCATATACTGTATAATTCCACGTATATCATGTCCTCAAAATGACAAAATTGTAGATGGAGAATACATTAGTGGTTTCTGTGAGTTAGGGATGGTGCTGAAAGGCGTCGTTTGTGACTGTGCAGGGTTGGCACAATCGAAATCTTTGTGGTTATGGATTTGTTCTGTATCTTGACTGCAGTGGTGGATACACAAATCTATATAACAGAACTACACACTTACCTTGTACTAGTGTCACTTTGCTGGCTTTAATGGTGTATTATAATTATTTAAGATATAACACCATTGGAGAAATTGAGTGAAGGGTACACAGGACCTATCTGTACTATCTTTGCAACTTCCTGTGAATCTATAATTATTTCAGACTAAAAGAATTTTTTAAATAATAACATTCTAGTGGTTGTGGAGCATGGGTATGAGGGAGACCAAATAGAATAAAGGTAGGAACAGTCTTGAGACTCTTGTCAGATCAAAGATAATATTTGAACCACCACAATATTTGTTGTGATAGAAAAAATGGGACAGATAGAAGGGATGATAAGGAGGTAGAATCAGCAAGACTTGACCGGGCACGGTGGCTCATGCCTGTAATCCTAGCACTTTGGGAGGCCAACGCAGGCGGATCATGAGATCAAGAGATCAAGACCATCCTGGCCAACATGGTGAAACCCTGTCTCTATTAAAAATTAAAAAATTAGCTGGGCATGGTGGCACACACGCCTGTAATCCCAGCTACTCAGGAGACTGAGGCAGGAGAATAGCTTGAACCTGGGAGGCGGAGGTTGCAGTGAGCCAAGATTGCACCACTGCACTCCAGCCTGGGTGACAGAGGGAGACTTCGTCTCAAAAACAACAACAAAAAAGAATCAGCAAGACCTTGGTAATAACTGAATGATTTCCAAGTCTCTTGCTTGGGTGATTGAATAGATGCTAGACGTCTCAAATAGAAGAGGGAGGCCATAGCTGAGGAGTCTGAGATGGAGTAGACGTATATAGAAGCCATGTTTTCCTGGTCTGTTGTGCCTTTGCAAATCTCAAAGATGTTGGTTTTTTTAGAATTTTGTGAAATATCTTAATGTCTTCTCGGATATCTTGTGTATTATGAAGCCAGATATTTACATGATTCTTCCTTGTACTGCTTTCCTTGTCTAGCCTGGTGCATCTACTAAAAAATTAGATTCAGAGTAACTAAGAAATGTGTAGAGCTGGGCGAGGTGGCTCACGCCTGTAGTCCGAGCACTTTGGGAGGCCAAGGCAGGTAGATCACAAGATCAGGAGTTTGAGACCAGCCTGGCCAATATGGTGAAACCCCATCTCTACTAAAAATACAGAAATTAGCTGGGCGTGGTGGCAGGCGCTTGTAGTCTCACCTACTCAGGAGGCTGAGGCAGAAGAATCACTTGAACCCAGGAGGCAGATTTTTCAGTGAGCGGAGATTGAACCACCGCACTCCAAGCCTGGGTGATAGAGCAAGATTCTGTCTCAAAGAAAAAAAGAAAGAAAAGAAAAGAAATGTGTGACATTGGGCCTTGATTTCTTTCTCCAAGTTATTATTTATAATTATTTTTTTTCAGACAAAGTCTCTTTTTGTCGCCCAGGCTGGAGTGTAGTGGCTCGATCTCAGCTCACTGCAACCTCTGCCTCCCAGGCTCAAGTGATTCTCCTGCCCCTGTCTCCAGAGTAGCTGGGATTGCAGGCACCCGCGACTATACCTGTCTAATTTTGGTTTTTGTTGTTGTTTTTTTTTCTTTTTGTAGAGATGGGGTTTCACCATGTTGGCCAGGCTGGTCTTGAACTCTTGACCTCAAGTGATCCTCCCACCTCGGCCTCCCGAAGTGCTGGGATTACAGGTGTGAGCCACCATGCCTAGCCTTATTTATTTTTTTTAGAGACAGGATTTAGCTCTGTCACCCAGACTGGAGTACAGTGGCAGGATATCTCATTGCTGCCTCAAACTCCTAGGTTCAAGGGATCCTCCTGCCTGAACTTCCCAAGTAGCTGGGACTACAGGCACGTGCCACCACACCCAGCTAGTTTTTAAATTTTCTGTGGAGGTAGGATCTCTCCATCTTGCCTAGGCTGATCTTGAACTCCTGGGCTCAAGCAGTCCTCCTGCATCAGCCTCCCACATTGCTGGGATTAGACATGTGAACCACCACACCCAACCCCTTGATTTCTTTATCTGCAAAATGAGCATTATGTTTTGTGATAATGTATCATAATAGTTCCCTCTCAGGATTTTTGTGAGGATTAAATGAGATAATATATGTAAAGTACTTGCATATGAAGCACTTAATAAATGTGTACTATTCCTGCTGCTAAAAATAAAAATTATTGTGACAAAAAATTAAGAGCTGAAATGCAGTGGAGCCTGTCAGTGGATACTGTGGCTAGCTGTAGAAATTCTAAGAGATTCTCTAGAGCTTTTTTTCTCTCAATTTCTGTTTTCCAGTTCCTTCAGTGATCCTTAAAGAGTGGTCTGCCTATAAAGGGAAGTCACCTCAAACCCCTGAGCTGGTGTCTGCGCTGACCTTTCGGGAATGGACTTGCCCAAACCTCAAGAAGCTCTGGCTAGGCAAAGCAGTTGAAGACAAGAACAGAAGGATGCGGGCCTTCCTGGCCTGTATGAAGTCAGACACACCCAGTATGCTAAATCCAGCTAATGTCCCCACCCATCTGCTGCTCATGTGCTGTGTTCTCCGGTAAGATATCTGACAGGCAGGCAGCCAGTTCCTTTTCTTTCACTTCTTTGATATTTCCTTTAAGCACCTGCTTTTATGATATTTGGGGGGTAGGGAAATCGAACCAATTTTATGTTTGGCTTTTATGTTGATTTTATGTTTGGCTTATACTCCAGAAACATCAAAAGTGATCGTTCAGACAGTCTTCTCAGTTTATGATCCTTGGTCCTATCAGTCCATACATGACTCCTCTTTTCTTTTTTTTTTTTTTGAGACGGAGTTTCGCTCTTGTTACCCAGGCTGGAGTGCAATGGCACGATCTCGGCTCACCGCAACCTCCACCTCCTGGGTTCAGGCAATTCTCCTGCCTCAGCCTCCTGAGTAGCTGGGATTACAGGCACGCACCACCATGCCCAGCTAATGTTTTGTATTTTTAGTGGAGACGGGGTTTCACCATGTTGACCAGGATGGTCTCGATCTCTTGACCTCGTGATCCACCTGCCTCAGCCTCCCAAAGTGCTGGGATTACAGGCGTGAGCCACCGCGCCCGGCCTGTTTCTTTTTTTTTCCTTTTTTTATTGAGACAGAGTTTCACTCTTGTTGCCCAGGCTGGAGTGCAGTGGTGCAATCTCAGCTCACTGCAACCTTTACTTCCCAGGTTCAACTGATTCTCCTACCTCAGCCTCCCAAGTAGCTGGGATTACAAGCACCAGCTACCACGCCCAGCAAATTTTTGTATTTTTAGTAGAGACGTGGTTTCACTCTGTTGGCCCAGCTGATCTCGAACGCCTGACCTCAGGTGATCTGCCCACCTCGGCCTCTCAAATTACTGGGATTACAGGCATGAGCCACTGCACCCAGCCTGTTTCTTTTTTTCACTTAATATTATTTTTGAGATCTGTCCATATTCATATATCAATCATTCTTCTCCACTGTTGGGTTATGTTCTATCAAATACTAATATCACAGCATTTTATTTATTGATTGATAGATAATTGTTTTCAGTTCTTTGGTATTGCAAATAGTGCTGCAGGGGATTTCTTCATAGATATCTGTGTCTCTTTGTGTTCCTGACTCAGTTTAAAGTATATACTGAGAAGTAGCATTTCTGGATCCTGTAAAATATGCATGTAGCCTTTCACTAAATATTGCCAAATTGCTCTAGATTATAGTTGTACCAATTTATATTCCTGCGAACAATACATAAGTATTTCTATTTCCTCATATTATTGCCAGTACTAATATCATAAAACTTCTTAATTTTTGCCAATCTAGTGTTTTCAAGTAGTATCTTTAATATTCATTTGCATTTGACTACAAGGAGGTTGATCTTCTATTTTTATGCTTATTAGCCGTTTTGAGTTTTCTCATTTTCTGAAGTGCTGCTTTATTTGTCTTGCAAATTTTTTATTAGGTTACTTGTCTTATTTTGCTGATCACAGAGGTTCTTTGTCAGATGTGTGTGAGTGTGTGTACACTCAGACACACATATAGCAAATACTTTTCTATATTTGAGTGTGCGTGCTTGTGTCTGTGCATGTATATTAAATGTCTTTTCCAGTCAGTCACAATTTGTTGAAACTTCATGTATGGTATTTTTTGTTTACCAGAAGTATTTCGTTTTTACTAGCCTTTTAAAAATTTAACTCTTGGCTGTGCGTGGTGGCTCACGCCTGTAATCCCAACACTTTGGGAGGCCAAGGTGGGCATGATCACTTGAGGCCAGGAGTTCAAGACCAGCCTGGACAGCATGGCAAAACCCCATCTATACAAAAAAATACATATATATACAAAATTAGCCAGGCATGGTGGCGGGTGCTTGTAATACCAGCTACTCGGGAGGCTGAAGCAGGAGAATGACTTGAACCCAGGAGGCAGAGATTGCAGTGATCTGAGATTATTCCACTCCAGCCTGGGCAACAGTGCAACTGACTCTGTCTCAAAGAAACAAACAAAATTAGGCAGAGTGCAGTTGCTCACACCTGTTATCTCAGCAGTTTGGGAGGCTGAGGCCAGGAGTTCAAGACCAGCCTGGCCAACATGGCAAAACCCTATCTCTACTAAAAATACAATAATTAGCTGGACGTGGTGGTGCAAGCCTGTGTTCCTAGCTACTTGGGAGGCTGAGGAGGGAGGATCACTTGAACCCAGGAAGTGGAGGTTGCATTGAGCTGAGATTGTGTCACTGCACTCCAGCCTGAGTGATAGGACAAGACTCTGTCTCAAAAAAAAAATCTGGAGGCCGGGCGCGGTGGCTCAAGCCTGTAATCCCAGCACTTTGGCAGGCCGAGGCGGGTGGATCACGAGGTCAAGAGATCCAGACCATCCTGGTCAACATGGTGAAACCCCGTCTCTACTAAAAATACAAAAAATTAGCTGGGCATGGTGGTGCGTGCCTGTAATCCCAGCGACTCAGGAGGCTGGGGCAGGAGAATTGCCTGAACCCAGGAGGTGGAGGTTGCGGTGAGCCGAGATGGCGCCATTGCACTCCAGCCTGGGTAACAAGAGCGAAACTCCATCTCAAAAAAAAAAAAAAAAAAAAAAAAAAAAAAAAACCGGGGGGGAAAAAAACCCTTTATTTTTATAGATTTAAAGGGTACAGGTGTCCTTTTGTTACATGGATATATTACGTAGTGGTAAAGTCTGGACTTTTCACATAGCCATAACTCAAATAGCGTACACTGTACCCATTAAGTAATTTTTAATCCCTCACCCCCTCCCATCCTTCTGAGTCCCTGGTCTGTGTTACTCCACTGTCTGTGTCTGTGCATACACATTATTTACCTCCCACTTATAAGTGAGAGCATGCTGTACTTGACAGTTTCTGAGTTATTTTACTTAAGATAAATGGCCTCTTCCGTCCCTGTTGCTGTAAAAGACATGATTTCATTCTTTTTTATGGCTGAATAGTACTCCAATATGTGTGTGTGTACATGTGTGTGTATATATATATACACACACACACACACATACACACACACACATATATATATATATAAAATCATACTTTATCCAATCATTCATTCATTGATGAACATTTAGGTTGATTCCATACCTTTGCTATTGCAAATAGTATTGCAATAAACATATAGGTGCAGGCATTCTTGTTGTTGTTGGATGCGTAGTGTGCAAATGTTTTCTCTGATTCTGCAGGTTGTTTCTTTACTCTGTTATTTCTTTTGCTATTCAGGAGCTTTTTCCTTCATGCCTATTTGTCTATTTTTGTTCTTGTTGCATTTGCTTTCGAGGTTTTCTTTTTTTCTTTTTTTTTGAGACGGAGTCTAGCTCTGTCGCCCAGGCCGGAGTGCAGTGGCACTATCTCAGCTTACTGCAACCTCAGCCTCCCGGGCTCAAGCAGTTCTCCTGCCTCAGCCTCCCAAGTAGTTGAGATTGTAGGTGCATGCCACCACGCCTGGCTAATTTTTGTATTTTTAGTAGAGATGTGGTTTTACCATGTTGGCCAGGCTGGTCTTGAACTCCTGACCTCAGGTGATCCACCCACCTTGGCCTCCCATAGTGCTGGGATTACAGGCATGAGCCACCACACCCAGCTACTTTTGAGGTCTTAATCATGAATTCTTTACCTAGGCCAATGTACTCAAGAGTTTTTCCTAGGTTTTTCGTCTAGGATTTTTATAGCTCAGGTATTACGTTTCAGTCTTTAGTCTGTCTTGAGTTGATTTGGGTGTGTGTGTGTGTGTGTGTGTGTGTGTGTGTGTGTTTTGGTTTTGGTTTGTTTTGTTTTTTGAGATGGGGTTTCACTCTTGTTGCCCAGGCTGGAGTGCAATGGTGCGATCTCAGCTCACTGCAATCTCCACCTCCCGGATTCAAGCAATTCTCCTGCTTCAGCCTCCCGAGTAGCTGGGATTACAGACATGTGCCACCACGCCCAGCTAATTTTGTATTTTTAGTAGAGACAGGGTTTCTCCATGTTGGTCAGGCTGGTCTCGAACTCCCAACCTCAGGTGATCTGCCCATCTTGGCCTCTCAAAGTGTTGGGATTACAGGCATGAGCCACCGCACCCAACCTGTTTTTTGTTTTTTTGAGATGGAGTCTCGCTCTGTCACCAGGCTAGAGTGCAGTGGCACAATCTCGGCTCACTGCCACCTCTGCCTCCTGGGTTCAAGCGATTCTTCTGTCTTAGCCTCCTAAGTAGCTAGGATTACAGGTGTATACTACCAAGCCCCACTAAGTTTTGTATTTTTGGTTGAGACAGGGTTTCATCACATTGGCAAGGCCACTCTCCAACTCCTGACCTCAGGTGATCCACTTGCCTCAGCCTCCCCAAAGTACTAGGATTATAGGCATAAGCCACCATACCCAGCCCATCTTGAATTGATTTTTGTATATGGTGAGAAATAGGGGTCCAGTTTCACTCTTCTGCATGTAGCTAACCAGCTATCCCAGTACCATTAAAAAGTGTCTTTTTCCCAGTGTATGGTTTTTTTTTTTAGACGGAGTTTCGCTCTTGTTACCCAGGCTGGAGTGCAATGGCGCGATCTCGGCTCACCGCAACCTCCGCCTCCTGGGTTCAGGCAATTCTCCTGCCTCAGCCTCCTGAGTA